GACGAGGTGGAAATTCATGAGTCTTTTGACTTACATATATTTTTTAAATGTGTTATGTAATCAGGTATGGAGTTAAAGCTTAGATGTGCACTGCTATAGAATGCTTATAGAAGTATTAGCAAAGTGTTCGATTTGTATAATACTTTCTCTTTTACTATGGTTGTTGATATTATTTTTGTCACACCAAATAGTTGTAAACTCTGATAAATTTTTTTTTTGTAAAATTGTATTTATGTAAAAAAAAAACGCATGTTGTGTGTGTCTGCCGTAATTATAGGTCAATAATGTTTATCGTAAATTTTATGATAGACCAAATGCTCATAATATTCATTTATGAAATTGTTTCAAGGACATACATTTGTCTGTCATATATATGATAGGATTTAGGTAAAACAAATAAACTAAAAACCCTTAAGTTTGCATGCAACCTAAATAGGATCTATGTTTTCTCTATTCAACCTATAACTAAGAACATCAAATAAGAAACCCTAAGAACCCTAGGTAATTTTTGAAAAACATAACTTAGGGTTTAGGATTACATACCTTAATTGTTATTGTAGTAAATAACAATGATTCCTTCTTGTAGATCTCTTGGAAACAAGCACCACAAGTGTCGTGTCTCTAATGGTTTACACCCAAGCTATCAAGAAGATGACTTAAGAGAGAGGAAAGGGGAGAGAACAATTTTCTTCAAAGCCTTAGGGAAGAGAGGAGTAGACAAAATATGGGGCTAGGGATGGCCTTATATAGTTAAGGAATCTTAGAGTCAAAGCTAGGGTTTAAGGGATAAGCCCTAGATTGATTTACTTGGTGACCAAGCAGCCCAATCTCCTTATCCAAGGAGCCTTGGACGAAATCTTATAGACTTGCCCTAGATGATTTTCATCTACCTCATCCCATGAGGTTCTAGAGCCTTGCTTCTTCAACTTTCAATAAATAATCAAACAGTCCCTGTACTTTTAATTAATCGAATTAATCCCAAAATTAATTCCAATTATTTTCTGATCAATTATTAATTAAATAATACATTTTCTAATTAATATATTATTTTCATAATATATTAATAAACTTCTTATTTCAATTTATTAATCAAATAATAAATTAACCTCTTTCTCTCTAAAAGTTATCTTGTCCAATTGCTAGATTTGAGGGCAACCCAAAAGGACTATGCTACTATCAATTCAAATATATACCAATTATAGTTATGAGCTTAGACACCTAATCCAACAATATATGCATTTACGACAAACAATGTCTACCAAAATACGTTTCGGAAAGCTAACCCTAACATTTTTGAGACGACACAAGAAATATTTAAGATCGACTATAGGGGGAGGTCGTTCACATATATAAACATTTAGAAGTTCTTATCATTTTTCCAGAAATGGAAAGACTTATTTGAAAAAGAATAAGAAGTTGGTTCGAAAAGAACAAAAACTTACCACAAATTCATTTGATGTTCGTTTTCAGGTTTGCTTGAACCAAGATGAGGAGCTTAGACTCGAATACATATTCCACCTGATAGGTAGATATGGGGAAAAAAGTGTATTGTCTAGTGCACTGGGAGCCACCAAAGTTTATGACATACGAAAAATGACAAATAACTATGAATTATATAATTTAAATTTCGACATGCATTTGCAATTCAAGAAAGATAAATTTGCTAAGAAAGAAAAATCATGAGAACATAAGCAAAAATCACACGAGGAAAAACACAAATTTCACGACATAAAATTTCTATCGTAAAGCGTCGACCATCTTTAGAGAGACGAACTCATCATGGTTTTAAGGGAGAACGAAGAAGTTATGAAAAAAAAAATACAACTAAACTTCTTTTATATTGTCTTTTCTCATTGAGGTTGAGGGTTTAAGTCCTGTCGTGTCGTGGACATAGATGAAATTAAAGAGAAGATTAGATTTGTCATTTAAAAAAAAGCTAGACTTCTTTTATATTGTTTGTTTATTTAATTATCATTTTTATATAGGTAATGTTTTTTATTAACTAATTAATGAAATATTTCTCTTTTATCTTATTAAATATTTAAATAATTTTTAAATTATAACTTTATATATTTATTTAAAAAAGTGGCGACTAGTTTTTATGGGGGAGGGGGGATTGAAGAAAAATGACATGACGATAAAGTGATAAGAATATAAACAAGGGGAGGTGATAATCCACACCTATTGGCCTTATATCTCTTGTGATTGCTGAAAAAACAATGGCCCGTATTTTAAAAAACATCATTTTCAAAATCGGAAAACAATGATTAGTTTTTAAATATAATAACTATAACAATAGTTAACAACCTGTCGTTTGGTTTTTTAAGAAGGGAAAAAAAGGAAAGAGAAGGAAAATTGTTTTTTAATGGATATAATGAAATGAAAAAGAATGAAATGTATTTAAAGAGTAGAATAAAAAGAAATGAAAGGAAAGTTGCGTCTTTTTCCCATATCTCCTAAAAAATGAGATGATTGGGAAGGAAATCGAAAGAAAGCTCTATCCTTCCTTTTCCTACGGGGAGAGAGAGAGAGAATGATATGGCGTCCCCTGTCTCTAATCTCTAATCTCTAATAATTATTAAAAGAGAACCCTTAATTCCCAAATAAAGAAATCAGAGCCCTTGATTGCATTTCATTAATAGGTTTCCACCCTTGGATCATTTTGCTGACATCACCATTGTCATATGTCTCTTTTCCCACCTAAAGAAATTACTATCATATTATCTTGCATCCAGATTTCAAATAATTTTAAAAGAGTTACCATTAATCTTATACTCTATAATGGCATAAAATCAGGAAAATGATTTGAAGTTACGGATTTTCCTATTTTAAATGGCTACACAACCATTTAAGTTCCACATCTTTAATTTTCTCTCTAAAACCATAGCTTCGAGAAAGAACACAAAATGGCAAACCCTTCGATTTGTGCTTGGACTGCTGCTATTATGCTATTCCAGTGCTTGTTCCTTCTATTGTAAATCGATTTGAAGTTATAGCAAACAACCGACTCTTAGCACAGGTAACAAACTCAATTGGGTTTTCAGTTTTGGGGTTTTACATTTGTTTAATCGATTCAAATCACATACTCGATTACCTTCTTCCGTCTCTCATTTGGCCTCCGTCTGATTTCCTACAATTTGATAGTTGATGAAATGTATAAAATTTCGATTTAATTGATTTAATCACTTTTATGTTCTTCATTTTTCAGATGATGACGTTTGTAGGAACCAAGAATAAACATTTTGCTTTTTTTCAAAAAGGAAGAAGGAAGATTTGCGGGTGTGGTGCTCAGGAAGGAAGGAATGGAGTAAGGGGCTGTTTCTTTTTGATGTCATGCACTTGATTTATAAAATATATATTATGCTTTTCTTTAATTTGTTTAATGGTTGAGGTTTGAAATTTAATATATATGAGGTCCACAATTGGAATCCTTTTTTCACTGACCTCCCACATAGACTTTAAGACAAGTTTACATACAACCCTTAGACGATGTTGGATCAGCCCTTGAAAACACACACAATCACACACACGTAATGTAGATTTTGAGTTTTACTACCTGAACGTTTTTCATTGATCTCACAAGTTACATTAAATAAGAAAAAAAACTTAATCCTAAAGAAAAGGTATCTAACCTACTATTGCTACGTGAACTTCCTAAAAGCTAGGAAAAACAACCTCCACTTGTGACCAAGTAAACTCTAATAAAACTTGTGCATAAAGAAATATAGTACCGACATTATATGACCAATTCAAGGTCTGACCCATTGAACCGTATCCGCAACTTCGACCCATGACCCGGGAAACCGATTAACCCAACAATCACCCCCTTAATCGGTTGTTCACAGCAGCCTTTAATCACCCTCTTTTCATCTCGATTCAAGACCTTTACCGGACACCCGACCTCCACCTCGATCACGTCCAAAGTCTTCAACCGATCTTGACTTTTCTCGGACACCCGACCTCCACCTCGGTCACGTCCAAAGTCCTCCATACCCGACTGTTGTTTGTCACCACACATAATCCGTTTTCACCTAACACTTCTGTGAAACGAGGGCCTTCTTCCACCGATCAAGAAAACAAAGCAACCCGCTTTTCCCGTCTTCTTTCACCTACAAAACGAAACAAACCCAAAGCCACCTGCTTTGACCGATTTTCTGTTCGTTTTCTCATGCATCTCCGGTAACTCTCTCCATTTTCCAGTGACATACCCACAACCTACCGCCGGAAGAACTACCATTCTCGCCTTCACAGCCAAGAGCACAACCATTGGATTCTACACCAGTGAAAATCATGAGCAACAACACCTCGAAGCACCCTCACAATCGCCTTCATCTCTGTTAACACCCATTGTATGCTATACAGAGAAGCACAACGACCCTCTGCGACCTACTTCACCATCATCGCTTCTTGTTTCAACCGGCAAATCACCACAATAAACTGCAGCCACCTGCTGCACATAACAGTTTCTGCCATCTGTATCAACTAGAACCTCGAAGAAGCCATTGCCAAACACCAGCCATTGCCAAACACCCGACTTTCGCTGTGATGGCAGCCCCGCACCCGAAGGCTCCTTCCTTTCGAAAGTCGACTCTCAAACCGACCCTCTTCAACCTTCGCTCTGATACCAATTGTTGGATCAGACCCTTGAAAACACACACAATCACACACACGTAATGTAGATTTTGAGTTTTACTACCTGAACGTTTTTCATTGATCTCACAAGTTACATTAAATAAGAAAAAAAACTTAATCCTAAAGAAAAGGTATCTAACCTACTATTGCTACGTGAACTTCCTAAAAGCTAGGAAAAACAACCTC